GGGATCGTTTCCCACTATGTGTCCAGTTTGCGCCTGGAAGTAGTAGATGTGCTGGGTAGGAGAACCCTTTCCATTGAACTGCAGGAGGTCCAGCGGCTCGAACTTTGCCGGGTAGGAGACCGCATCCCATTCAATTGGATACGGTCTGACAACCCCCAGCTTGTTCGCATGCTTCTGGAGCTTCAAGGCGTCGAGTTGACTTTGGAGATCGTCAAACCTCTTGTCTCTTGGGTTATGGCCCGAAGATGACGCTCCTCTAGATGACTCGGATGAGGAGTGAGAAGGAGTAGGCACCCGCTCTTTGTGCTTCAAGGATTTATGCGAAGCCCGCGAAGTCCTCTCTCTCTTCCTCTTCTTCTCGCTCAGGAGCTGCTCCAACATCTCCTTCAGGGAGTCGATGGTTGCTTGTTGCTCGTCGAGCCTCCTAGACATCTCCTCAGGGATGTCAGTCATGTGCACATTTGTGTGCTTGCCCTGAACTGAGCTTGAAGTCTCCGACATTGCCACTGCTGAGCAATCGTCGTCGTCGTCAGAGACGGACGTCAGACCCGTGCAGGCAAACGAGGTGGCCACCCCCATTTGGGCGTGAGCGTGTTGGCGAGGTTCATGCTGGCGAGGTTCGCCCGTCAGGCGAGATTGGCACAGTGTGCCTGCGCCTGTCTGGCGAGCTGTTGCTTCGCCTTTCTGGCGATCTTGGGCCGTCAGGCGAGCTTGGTGAAGTTCGCTTGTTTGACGAAGCCCTCTTAAACTGCAGAGTTCGCCAGGTGCCCTTGGTTCGCCAAAATTGAGCACCTTGCTCACAGAGTGGGGCTCGCTTAAACTGCTAGGCTCGCCCGATTTGAGCGGTTCGCCAAAAATAGAAACCTGGCTCAAGTGGTTGGGCTCGCCTAAACTGCTAGGCTTGCCCGATTTGAGCGGTTTGCCAAAATCGGGAACCTGGCTCAAAGAGATGGGCTCGCCTAAACTGCTAAGCTCGCCTGATTTGAGCGGTTCGCCAAAAATGGGAACCTGGCTCAAGAGGTTGATTCGCCTCAAGCCTGAATAATAATTCAGGCTGTCGTGGGGGATGAGGGATTGTGCCTCGAGACGAGCGAGAGCTTTTCGTCGCCGCTGTTTGGATCTTTTTGAACGAGGAGCGTTCATGTCGACGACGGAGGCGTATTCTGCGTCGACACAAATGGTTGATTCCTCTTGCACAGGGGTCTGCGAGGATCGTTCATCGACCCATTCAGCAGCCCCTAGACCTGCATTCTCGAATCTCGGCTCGGCCTCAACTGGTTCGGGGGGAAAAGAACCCCCTGCCTCGGCTTGGGTAGATCCCTCAGGCTTGGTTGCCTCAGCCTCTTGGGGCTGGGCCACCCGCACGACTCTGCAACCATCGCGAGATGTATTGCTGCGAGAAGAGGACGATTGTAAGTACCCTTCGAATTTGATCACAAGGGACTCAACAGTAGTCCCTGCAGCAACTTCGTCAGACTGCGCCACCACCAATTCATCTGAATGAACGGATTCTCCCACTGTGGTCGCCATCTTCTGTAGGGTGAAAATTTGATTCTTCCGAAGAAAGGAGTTTCGTTTGTATTTATAAGAAAGCTTATTACAAACTAACAAATCAAATGTTTACAACAGAAGCAGAGGGAAAGCCCTCTTTGTTT